GGAAGCTGACAGCCATGTGGACAAGCAAAATACCAGGGATCGGTCAACATTCACCAGAACAAACTAAATCACATCCAGAGTTTTTTTTAATGTGCAAACTCATTTTTGAAGAGAACTTAGTTCCTGTCAAAAGGGAAAACAGCCCTGTAGCTGAGGATACAGCAGTACTCATGGAACAAGCAGGTCATGGACAACAGTAGTAGAAGGCTTCCCCAGCTATACGCAGTAAGGTAACATGAAAGTGTTCTTCCTAGGAAGCAGAGATGGTTGGAATATACTATTCCCAATATGCTATTGTGGGTATATATCCTCAATGTACTACACCTGTGCAGGTACAGTGATCTGCCTCAGCTAATTAACCCTTCTATGAAAGAATTACTGGTTTGAATTGGCAACTTAGTGGTGAAAAATGCTATTTGAAGCATGACTTAAGTGCCTTGTAACACACGGGTGCTTCTGTTTAAATCTTGCCATTTAGCATTGTCCTAGTTCACATCAGAACACGGCTCTGACTGTTCACTGTGTTTGCCACAGATGTCCTGCCACCCAGAGCTGAATCAGTACATCCAGGACACACTGCACTGTGTAAAGCCGCTGCTTGAGAAGGTAAGATTTTATGAGGGATCTGGGCAAAAGTACTTTCTCTCAAAACCACTTGCAGTAAGAGAACATAAATACTGTCTTCACTGCAAAATTTATTTACAGATTTACCACATACAATATACTAGCTGATAAAGTTACTAATGAAAATAAAAATCACATCTATAGCCTTTTCTTGCAGTGAAGGGCCTGCCTTGCTGCGGATCCTTGGCATTTAGTTGCATCTAATACATGCGCATGAGGATATACATCTATATATTTTCAGTTGCATCATCTTTCATGTTAATGTTTAAGTATCTATCTGGCAGAATAGTTTGAATGCTTTGCTGTAAGCCAGCAGCAAAGGTAGATTTGAACTCTAGGTTTTGTAAAAGAAAGGTATGACCATATGAAATGTTTCAGGATGGAGAATGCTGGCAGATTTTGCATTCTCTGCTCTTTACTGCACACTTAGAGAATGGAAATAGATCAGTTTTACATGGCAGTAGTACAAAGCTGCTATGTTTGGCCAACAGTCTAAGCATATCTCAACTTCCTTATCGCTGTCTGTTCCTGAGTGATGCAATGAGATGGCTGGATGTTTCCTCCTTTGTTCCAAAACAGTATCTAGAGAAACGTTTTGGATTACTTGTACTTGAAGTACTTAGTGCACTTCATCTCTTTAGGCCTTAGCAATAAGCTACCAGTTTAACATCTAGCAAGAAAGGGCTTTACAAAAGCATTTTTTCTGATGGGTAAGAATAATCTGACAGTGCTCAAGCTTTGGATAACTGCTAGTGCTGTGAGCCACAACGTGTAAGCGTACTCCCACTTTATCAGAAGCATGTGAAATGCACTGGAGGCAGAAGACAGCTTTTTTAAGGAAGGGATTTTTCCATCTTTGTTCTTGCAGAATGATGTGGAGAAAGTTGTAGTTGTAATCTTGGATAAAGAGCACCACCCTGTGGAGAGATTCGTCTTTGAGATCACCCAGCCACCGCTGCTTTCCATTAGGTAAAGTGTCCATTACCACCTGCCCATGGCATCCAGCACCTGGCTCTGCAGAGGTGTTCTGGAAGCAGTTCCAGGTCCCAGTACTTTGCTGCATGCCACTAACAACTGCTGTCTCCTCAACAGTTCAGAGTCTCTGCTGTCCCACGTGGAGCAGTTACTGCGTGCCTTCATCTTGAAGATCAGTGTGTGCGATGCTGTGCTTGACAACAATCCCCCAGGTAAACGTGTCCACGCAGCCTAATCGCATGGCACTGCTTGACTGGAGACAACAGGCAGTGTCTGATCCTCTGTTAGTTGTCCCCTGATCTGGAGCCTACTGTTTTCTCTTGCAGGTTGCACCTTCACAGTTCTGGTTCACACACGGGAGGCTGCCACACGGAACATGGAAAAGATCCAGGTGATAAAGGTGAGTGATGTCTTTGGTGACCTAATTATGTGTGAGCAAGCTGCAAAGACTGGAAATCACAGGATTTTGGCGTCTCTAAGGTTAAGGCCGCTGGGTATTTTGAACGTGTACATTAGCTTCACATGATGCACTTCACAACGTTGCTTTGAATGTGTTGAAGTGGTTTACACTGGTGAGGTGACTAAGCGCATTCACCACACACCAGCCATAACTGCGGACAATAGCTGCTTCAATGCCTGAATTAGATGGTAACAATACTTACTGCATAGTGCCTGCTCAGTCACTTTGGAGTACTCTGATGTATAGAATAGGTACTTGAATTTAATCAACAACAACAACAGCCCTCATCCCACATCCATTACATGTGGATGGCTGATTCTTTATAAATAGCAAGGAAGACTAAGATTCAGGTAACTAGTGGGTTTTGGGTGCACAAATACTTTCCTGCAAGATAAAATATATGTGCAGATCACTTTTTAAAGCAAGATTTTTTTTTTTTTTAAGAATCCTTGCTTAAGTTCAAGGAAGCTTTTTTTCCCTGAGCCAAGTTACTTTGGGTGTCCTAAGGCACAATAAAGCTAGTGAAGTATAAAATTGTTTCAAAATGGAAGTCTGCTCTGTACTGCTTAGTTATGGAAACTGGTAGTGTAATAGGCCAACCTTTAAACTTACAAGGCAGGACAGAAATCTCTGCTCTGAGCATTTTGGATTTGCAATTAAATGCTCATGTAATGAACAGAACATGCTAGTGCACGACAGCTAAGACTATAAAGAAGTGAGATGTCACCTTTGGAGTAAGTAAAATGGGTTAACATTATAGATTTGCTTCTGTAACTGAATGCTGAGTCTCGGGGCCAAGTGTGCAAGTGTTAAGTTTTGCTGTTACGAAAGGTTTGAGTTACCTGTTTCTTCCCTCAGCCACTAGATTGCTCATTCACTTAATGCTGACGTAGTGCTGAGAAAGGGAGCTCTCCTTACAGAGTCTGCCAGCCTCTCTGCAAATAAAGCACCTTGTGTTCCTGCCCCTAGGATTTCCCATGGATTCTCGCCGATGAACAAGATGTGCACATGCATGATCCTCGTCTTATTCCCCTGAAAACTATGACATCTGATATCTTAAAGGTGAGCAGAGCATTCTGGCCCAAGATGGGGCTGAAACTGCATGTAATTCTATGCTTTGCCTGCTGTCAGCTCTGCAGTTTTCTGTAGGGTAGCAATTTTAATACTGCTGAGCAGTAGCTTAGTCTCACAGATGCCTGTGCCAGTAATCAAAACAGGGCAAGACAACTCATAATAAAATAGGAAACCTGGTTACAGGGGAAGGTACAAACTTCCTATTTAGCCTGTTGCAGACTCATTTCCATTCACCCAGCTGCATAGCACACAGAACTGATGCTTGTTTCTGTTCTGCAGATGCAGCTATACGTAGAAGAGCGAGCCCACAAAGGCACCTGATTCAAATGTTCCTTGCCTTCAAGCCTCATCTGATCTTCCAGTGGAATAAGATATCTCACAAACCGTACCTGATAACTGTCTCTTCAGCTGGCCTTCTGGGTGAATGTAGAGCAGCTGCTGCCTCTTTATTTCAAGTGCTCTTACCATTGTATATAGAACTGACTTGGAATGTGGAGCCAGAGCCTGTTCCCATGTACACTCATGTGTGAGAGTGAGTATAGGTTTTGTTACAGTGAATCCCTGGGGGCAGGATATAGGCAACTGCAGTAATGCAGCCAGTGGTTTGTACAAATCCGGTTCTCACCTTCATAGGGCATCTTCATTGCACACTGGTAGTGATACACAGCTGTCTGTTTTACGCTCCACTAGAGCAATGGACTCATACTAAGGGTGAGTGAGGCCTTATGTAGTGTCTGTCCACTGTGACTGTCCCAAATAGTCTTCAATAAATATTAAATTTTACCCCAGTTGAACTAGGCTGAGTTCTGTCCAAACCAGCCTCCCCCCTTAAATGAGGAAGTATTTTTATTTTGTACAGAGCTTTGTCTTTTATGTGGAGCTTCCACCACTTTTTCATACATATTTCTGAAACATCTATCAGTTCCTATGGGAGCCTATACAACCTTGGCCTCTCCCCTTTCAGTGGGAGTGCTTTCAGCCACAAGTGGCATTAGCAAGGTGGAATTTGTCTGTCCAGCAAGGATGCTTGCCAAATACCCTACTCCTAACAGAGAACAGACAAGGGAAACACTGTTAATCCTACATCTATCAAGGAGATGGAAGGCGGCCTTAGTACTGACTCCATGTATACAGGAGTAAAAGAAATGGTTCATAGCCTTTTTGCTGAGCTTGTTGGTCAGACAATTTGGTAAGACAGCCAGTACAGTACCTCCCTCCTTCCTCCTAGTAACAAGTGCAAGAATACTGTAGATCCAGGTTGTGCACTACTTTTAACATTTTATGTAGAGTTAGACTGGTACAAACCAAGCACTTTGGTAGTACAAAGGTAGTACGGAAAAAGCCCAGCACAATCAAAAGGCACTTAAGTTGTAAGGAATCCCTTAAGATGGCTCCCTTATCTCCTGTTTCTCTAGCTGTTTATTCAAACAATGATGGGCTGTATTTGGACAGGGAAGGTATGTACCATTTTGATCATATACATTTACAGAAATGGTAAGGAATTAAGTACGAGTGAACAGCATTTGTGAAAAAGGGTTGACAGTTTCCTTATGCTATGAATTACTTACGCTATGAAGACTCTGATATGAAAGATACATGTTTTTATACATAATTAAACTGAAACAGGAAAATACCATACAAAACAAGTCTCTCTGTAGCAGAGCCCTTGAGGACAGCATTGATAATCTAAAATGACACATTTTAGCCTTATCTTTCATAAGTTCCATTAACAAACAAGAAATAGTTTCTAATTAAGACTTAGCATTTGGCTGTAGCACAAGGACATATTAACTAGAAAAAAATAGATGTCATATTTAATTGTCCTAGTCTTCCCCCTCTGGAAGGGCTCTAGTCATTGCAGTAAGATCCATGGTACAGGAGGACAAAAGATGAAGACAGAAGTCCTTCCAAAGGGCTGGGCCTGCAGAAGTTCTTGTGAACAAGAAGAACTAGCTGCTTGTATTTGAGACCAACTGTGCAAAGACAAAGCCAGGACACTCACCCAGAGAGTACAGACAAATAAGTGCACCTGAGACCACCTGGTTACAGTCCTGAGGTAAAAGCAAACACTTATATTGTGCCTTCATAACAATGTCAGGGGTCCAATGGTGATGCTGCTGTTTGTCACTCGGATCCCATACCATCCTGCCCAGAACTGCGTGTCTTGGCCTCCATGCTTAAACCAGATGTAACGAACTCCAGGTGGGTAATTCTGGAAAGTGTGAGAAATCTGGAGACAAAGAAGAAAATTCCTCTTAATTTGCCTAAATAAACCAGCACTGATCTAGAAGCTCGGACAGCTACAGTATGCAAGTCTTGGTCTCAGGAAAAACTCATTCTAGGATACCTTTTATTGTAAGTGTATCATACCCCTTTTTGAGGGATGGAAAAAAGCCTCTCTTATTCAACCTTCTGCCCTGAAATCCTCTCCAAGTCCAATATATCATTGAACTTGATTCCTAGGTATGTTTGTCATGTAAGGAACAATGTAATGGGGAATCTACAGCAAATCAAACCAGTTAAACACGTTTAGCATAAGAGAAGTAATATCTTCAGTACTTCAGATGGCATCCATACAGTAGTTCTGAAGCAAAGCTTTTTGATCCAATAAAACCAAGAACTGTGCTCTGTAACTTAGTTATTTGCATAAAAACTTAAGTGAAAACCACAAACAATTAAAGGCACTGAGCTAAACATAACACAGAAGCCCAGGAGATACTCTTCAGAAAACCCTGGGCACTCACAAACCAAACCTAGCTCTTTCATGGCATTGCTGCTCGTTCAGCATTGTGAACAGCAAGGACTTACCTTTTGTCTTAAGTAGGGAAGGCTGAAGAGAAGAGAAAGTGGGTTCACTTGGGACTTTTGGCCAGATTCAAGACTGAAAACATTCAAGTGTCACAATACTGATGTGAAGCCTCTGCTCACAGGGCTGCTGCTTACCTCTCTCCACATTGCATCATTCCACTGCTCTATAACCACTGGCTCGGGTTGGAACTCCTCAAGGACAATGTAGTCTTCAGAAAGCAGCTTCACTGAAAGTTCATAGCGACACCCACAGTCAAATCTGGCAGCGTACCTAGGAGAGGCAGGGAGTAATCAAAGAGCAAGGTTGTATAAACAGCATTCAGTTTTCTTTAGTGTTCAAAAATAGTCTAGGAGGGGATCCCCATCTGCAGAGGAAAAGCAATGTCATTGCCATAGCTATGAAGAAGTTGTAAAACTTCCAGCTATCCTCTTCTTCACAGGATTGACACCTCCTTACAGCCCATTCAAACTTAGATTTACCTTATGCTTTACTCAAGAGCTACAACTCCCAAAGGATAAAACCCTAGTTGTATAGCACAAAAAGCTTCAGAGGCCTAGCGGATCACTAGGCCAACACCAGAAATTCTAGTTTTTAGTGCGTACGCTTACCAGTCCTTGACTACAATTTCAGGCCGCTTCTCATCCATCAACTGATTCCAGTATCCTTCTTTCTGCAGGGTAATGAGTTGAGACTTGAAGCATGGCCTGCAACAGCAATAGAAATAGTCACAACTTTGCAAACACACCTCTTCCCTCTCAATGTCTGTACTCTGCCTGAAAGCTTTACTCTTACCAAAAGCCCACCCAGACCTTGAAGACTCACAAGGCTGACATGGCTAAGGCCTCTCTTTTTCTGTAGCCAGAACTAGACAAGGAAGTGAACTGATTAGCTTCACTCCCAGATAAAGGAATAGTTACCTACAAGATGGATTAGGAGGGGTCCCTGCACTTGTATAGCATATATTGGTAACAGAAAACTACTGCTTAATGCATGTAAGAGCAGCTAATCCTCCTCTTGACAGCTTTTATTGCAAGCTGTTAGCACAACAAACAGACCTACTGCTCTTGGAGGTTACAAACCTTTGACCTTGTCACATAAGTGCACCTGATTATCTTGCCAAAAATAACCTTTTTCTAAGTAAAACCTTTTTTTTTCCACCACTTTTGGTAGAAGAGAAGCAGAGAACCCACGCGGATTATCATGACTACAAAAAAAGTTACAGGAAATTCCAGAGACATTTAGCACATGCTGCGATTAATTCTCTCAGCAGTACACCTGTCTCTTTAGACTAACTAGTGTAAAAGCTGAATTAAGCTCCTTCCTTGTCCTACACATGGGTTAAGATTCAGTGACCTCCTCAAGCCTTCTAACAGTAGTGCCTTTGCAGACAGACAGGAGGAAGCAGGTCTCCCAGCTCCAGATAACTGCAATCCAGTTCTTACCCATATGAAGTGACAAAGTATTTGTGTACTGAGGGGTCTGGCATCCCTTTTCCATGAGGTCCAGGCAGATCTTCAATCTTCCATTTATCTCCATCATTATTATCAAGTTTCCAGTGCTGGAAGTTCTCTAAAGACACAGATATCAAAGGTCAGCGTTAGGACCTTGCTTTGGTTTCCAGCAGTATCTCTGCTTTTGTTAAAGAACCAGCTACAGAAGAGTGGTTTGATGAGTTTTCAGATTCACTGTATTTTTTCTACAGCTGAAAGTGATCCCTGTCTTTACTTGCCATTACTTTTAATCTGGCTGTCAGCAGCTAAGACAACAGCTAGCAGCTTTCTGACCACATCACAAACTCATAATCAGTAATAAAGTACAATTACAGTAGTCACATTAATCAAGTCTTTGATCACAAAAATTCTCCAGCAGCCCGAATGTTTCATCGTGATACCCAATGGTTTCATGGCCTTATTGTACCTGTGCAAATTAACCAGTTAACCATCACTGTCTGCAGTGCTGGGGCCATATGACTACTGTCTCCAGAGATTTTTCTGGTTGAAACCAGAGACACATAGTTTACCAATACTTTACCAACCCAGGGTAGTTTTATTGCAGATGTTTACGTGGATCTGACCCAGCAGAGTTCCATCAGTCACTGGGCAGTCCCACACCACCAGCAGCACTTGAGTAATTCAGGACACTGACTCATTCTGACTCTTAGGAAACTCTGAGCTCTCTGCCATAAATAATTAAACGAACCTTCCGCACAGGGGTTTTTGATTAAGTTTCTCTTCAAGCTGCAGAGCATATAGAAGACCTTCCAGTCAGAGACGCTTCTGTCCAAACTCTGAAGATAAAACCCCTCGCGTTGGCACTTGCGCTTCCATAGGGTGGTGAGATCCACCA